GACCCAGGAAATGTTCCAGTGATGTGGAAGACCTGCTGCCTTGTTCCAGTACCAAAGACGACGCAGCAAACAGTCCTCAGTTACAATAGGACTGTTGCCCTGACAACCCAAATCATGAAAGTCCTAGAGAGACTTTTCTGTTCACCTCGGCAAATAAAACAGCTATCAGGTCCCCATGCTGTTTTTTTTATCCACATGGAGTTGAAATTGAAGATGCCATCATACACCTACTTCAACAAACCTACTGTCATTTAGACAAGGCAGATAGCACTGTGAGGATCATGTTCTGTGATTTCTCCCATGCATTTAACACAATTCAGACTGATTTTGTGTGAAACTCCAGAAGACTTAGGTGGAAGCATCAGCAATTGTGTGGATCAAAGACTACCTGACAAACAGACCACAGTTTGTTAGACAGAAGGATCAGCTGTCTAATCAAGTGGTCAACAGCACAGGAGCACCACAGGGGACGGTATTCTCACCATTCGTTTTTACTCTGCACACCTCTGACTTCTAGTACCAGACAGAGTCCTGTTACATGCAGAAAATACTCAGATGACTCTGCAGTCACCTGATGCGCCAGAGATGGACAAGAAGTTGAGTACAGGGAGCTGGTGAACTGCTTTGTGGCATGGTGAAGAAAAGGACATAGCAGATTGTACTTCCTAAGGAAGCTTAGGTTCTTCGGCATTTGCAACAAGATGCAACATATCTTATTTAAGTCTGTTGCGGAGAGATTGATCTCCTCATCCATCAAGTGCTGGGTAACAGCATCAGAGCAAAGGACTTTAAAAAGCTAAACAAGCTAATTAAGAAGGCCAACTTTGATCTAGGAACTCCTCTAGAGCCTCTAGAGATGATTTCACAAAGGATAATTCTTTAATAAAGTGAATAATGTTATGGACAACAGTGAGCATCTTCCTCAGAAGATTGTTAATAAACAACAGATTGTCTTCGGTAAAAGGCTTCTCGAGATCCGGTGCAAGAGAGACAGATACAGAGGATCCTACCTGCTTACAGCTATCAACACAACAAACATAAAAACAACAAAACAAAAACTATGAGTAACTGCAACATTTAATTCCCCTTTGTGATTAATAAAGAATTTTTTTTATTTAATTGAACGAAGCAGCTTTAGGTACAGAAAATAGGGTTCCTCATTTGCGTACTGTATTGTACTGTAAGAGGAAACATAATGGATACTGATACTGATTTTGTTCTATATTGTTTTTCAGAGAAAATAATAAAGATTGAACTGAACAGAAGAATACTTATCAGCACTCTGGTATTCACAGCATTAAAACTGTGTTAACATTAAAATAAAACCTTAAACATAATCAACATGAAAATTCTAAATATAACAAAATGGGAATCTGATTCACTATCTTCACCAATGATGCTATCAGCTGGACAGACTGTTTTTCTTCTCTAGATTTTCCCTCTGTTTTGTTAAAGTATAATGTCATGTTATTAACAATATGTATAGTAAGTAAAAAGCTATATTTAAGAAGTAGAAGGAGTAGAAAGTACAGATATTTGCATTCAGATGTAATGAGTAAGAGTAAAATGTCCTTAGAAAAAGGACACCAAGAATGTTTACACCAAGGATTGTGGACTGGGATTTTAGAAAAGCTAAGGTGAAGAATAAATAAAAACCTCTTGTTAGTTAATAAAAATAAAAAAATTTATTACAATTGAAGAGAATAGCTTAGTTTTATCTGGATTAATCTGTATTTAATCTGGTTGTTGTCCAAGCTTTCCATCACCTGCAGAATTAAAGCTCATCCTTAATGTCTTTGGATTTTTTTTCAATTTGTTAAGAAATGAATATAATTTTTTTATTAATCATCAGTGTTTCGCATTTGTGCACCTTAATTTACATTGTGAAGTATAGTGTCTAAGCACTGTTTTAAAATGGCAGTATATGCAAACCAATACTTTTAATGGTAATCAAGTAGCATTTTCTAGAAGCAAATATGATAGAACATTTTACCTACAGTAATGCAATACAAAGTATTTGTTCTGTTGCTACAAAAGGCCAATTTAAGTAAGTAAGTAAACTTTATCTCTGTAGCACTTTTCACAGAAAGGGGTCACAAAGTAACACAAAACAGTTCAAGTAAAAACTAAATAAATAAGATAATTAGTTCATTTGAAAATCCTGTGTGCACAGCCAATTTTTGGCTGTTTTTTAAAAGTGTCTACAGAGTCCATGGAGTGCAGAAACAAAAGGCGTTTGTTCCTGAGATGGGGTGTCACCTCTTTAAAAGATTAATTGAAGACTGATTTTCATTGTTATAAGTTTTCTAAATTACATTTCTCAATATGAAACCTCAGTAAGCTAACTTTTTTCCTAATTTTCTAATTCACTATGTTTCTTAAGCAAATTCCAGTAGAATTCATAAAATTTTGTTCAATTCTATTGTAAAAACTTCCTTCCTTCATTAAAATGCTTATTATTATTATTATTGCAAAGTTAAACAGGAATCAATTATAATAGATTAGATAATAAGTTAGTCCTGTTACACAACAAAAAAAAAGTCTGTCCCCAAAAAAGTGGTCAACTTTAATCACATCGATTTAGATAGTCTGCATTTCACAGCTCTCTTGTATAATAAGGGGTAGAAAAGTCAAAAGAGTCAAGCAGACATCTACCTATCTTATTGTGGTCATTGTGTGTTTTACTAGTAAATAAACATGTGATTTCAAAAGAAAAAAGTCACAGAGACCCTGTAAATAAATACTTTCATGTCAAGCTATCATTACACACACTGTCCTTATGCTTTTATCTGCCAACGCTGGCTATCATAAAATATTGTTTTTTTTTTAAATTCTGCCACTAAAGCATAAGTTGTCTATAATGTACAGAGCTTTGAAAGCTTTGAGATCAGCAGAAAGACTTAGAAAAAAAAGCATAGAAGCACACAGTACATTTGTGTCTGATTCAGACTACTATAATATTGCAAATATTTAATAAGACATTTACACACTTACAAAGTCTCTCTGTATCTCCTCTTATATTTGTTGCTTATTATTAAGACTGAAGCTTTAAAAGTGCTGCTCAACTCTCTCAGTTTTAACCCTTACGTATCATTACTGGCATCTTTAAACATGTTTTTTTCTTATTTTTCTGTAAATAATTTACCCTTTCAGAAATAGGACACCCCCCCCACACACACACACACCCACACCCTTGGAGGACTGTACACTGCTATATAAAAATAAAGGGAATACGTAAACAACACAATATAACTTCAAACAAAACAGACTTCTGTGAAATCAAACTGTCCACACAGCAGCATGCAAATCAATTTCGCATGCTGCTGTGCAAATAAAATATACAACAGGAGAAAATTATTGGCAATAAGCAAAGCACACTTAATAAAGAAGTGGTTCTGCAGGTGGGAACCACAAACCACTTCTCAGTACCTATGATTTTGTCTGATTTTTTAGTCACTTTTGAATGCTGGTGGTCGTTTCACACGTGATAGCATGAGACGGACTCTACAACCCACACAAGTGGGTCAGGCAGTGTAGCTCATCCAGAATGGCACATCAGTGAGAGCTGTGGCAAAAATGTTTGCTGTGTTCTTCAGAATAGTGTCTAGAGGCCTGAGGTGCTACCAGGAGACAGGCCAGTACAACAGAAGAAGTGGAGGAGGCCGTAGGAGGTCAACAGTCCAGCAGCAGGTTCACTACCTCCACCTTTGTGAAAGGAGGAACAGGAGGAGCACTGCCAGAGCCCAACGAAATGACCTCCAGCTGGCCACAAATGAGCATGTGTCTGCTTAAATGCTTAGAGACAGACTCCATGAGGATGATAAGAGGGCCTGACCTTGACAGATGGGGTAGTGCATGCTTCATGTGAGGAACTGCTGTCGAATCACCTGGTTTTCTAATATAAAACTTTGAACCAATTTGACTGTATGATTTTGTTGTATTGTCTTTGTAAAGGAACCTGTGTGTTGTGAATTGGCGCTTTATAAATAATCCAAACTGAATTGAATTCTTCTTGTAGTTGTTATGTTCTCTGTTTCCTGTCTCTCTCTTCTCATGCAGGTATGGAACCAGACTTCTAGGACTTACTGTACATCCACTGTGCTGTGTATTTTTGCTGCTTTGTTTTATTTTTTCTCTTTTCATGCATTCTTTCCTGTCTCTACTTCTTTCTCTCTCCCCTTATTTCTTATCTCCTCTTTTTTTCTCACCTCCCTATCCGTCTCTGTCAATTGTAAACTATTTTACTCCCTAAATAATAATTTTTGAATAAAGTTTCCTATACAAATATCAAGCGGAACCTTATGTGTGCTTGTGAAAGCAAATCAGTTTGGCTATCATCTAGCTCTGGGACATCTATCCCCAGAGCCATATTGGCAAAAAAGGAAACACTTACAAAAACAGGAAACTGAGGCAACAATTCCAACAGGTTTAGCATCTTTGTGATAAGGTGCAACAGGAGAATTGTATCCTCAAGGCACAGAGGATAAATCTGTCATGGCTTTGTGATGCTATCATTAAATTTGATTATTTTGCATAATGAAGGTCATGCCATTATCCTACTCAGGCATATCATTAAATATATAACCTTTATGCTTTACTTTTGATGTTGATTTTTAAAAAAAATAAAATGATGCATTAATTTAAAGCCAATCAGTGAAAAAAAAATAAAAAAAGATTATATTTGCTTCACAGCTGAGTTACAGATCAAATTGATTTGAAAGTTCGGAGAAAAGATCAGTTTGTTTGTGATCATGAGCAGAAAAACAAACATTTGTCAATGGTAAATTGCAAATAGTCCAAAGACCACATGAAGGTCGTTGTGATCTGAGCATAATGTCATGCTGTTTTCTAATCCCTGACCTAATATGATAAACTAAATCACCGTCAATCACTTCCTTGGGGGTGGAGTCTCTAGTCCCATATGTCTGGTAAGACTTAAATACAACAGCACACAGGAAGTGGACACTTGGGGACTAACCAGACCAGACAACTGTGAGGTCATGGCGAGTCACTGGAGGGTCACCTGTTTTGCAGCGCTGGCTTTGCTATGCTGCTTAGCCAGGAGAGAAGCAGAGGCTCAGAAGGGTGGGAATCAGCAACCGTATATGCCAAACCCTATGAATCCCAACCCTGGATTTCAAAAGCCTTCAGACCCTCAGAAGCCTAGCCGCCCAGAAACTCCCCCGTTTCAATGGCCTGGAATCCCTAAAAATCCTGTTGTTTCACCCCAAGGAAATACCTTCCCTGGATCTCAAAATCCTTCAGACCCTCAGAAGCCTAGCCCCCCAGGAAATCCCCCGTTTCAATGGCCTGGATTCCCTCAAAATCCCGTTGTTTCGCCCCCAGGAAATACCTTCCCTGGATCTCAAAAGCCTTCAGACCCTCAGAATGCAAAAAAGCAATTTCCTTATTCAGATCAATCAATGTCCCAATTCCCTCAAAGGCAAACATCTAAAGTCCCTTCCAAGAGACCACAAACCCCTGGAACTCCCACCCCTAAAAGCTGTGAAGTGGCTAGCGCTTCAAGAGTCCCATGTGGAGTTTCAGGCATCACCGCAGCTGAATGTACGGACAGAGACTGTTGCTTTGATGGTCAGTCATGCTACTTTGGGAAAGGAGGTGAGTGTTAAACCTGCTGTTTTTTTTTTGTTTTGTTTTTTACTAAAATAGACTAACCTTTTTAAAATACCTCTCAAAACTACAGGGAAATAAATATGATTAATCTGGAGTTCTTAGAACTAGAAATATGTATATCCTACATCCTAAGTAATTTCCCTCTGGGATTATTAAAGTATTTCTAATTCTGATTCTACCTTACCATTTACTTTCTTTGTTCCACTAGTGACAGTCCAATGTACCAAGGATGGTCAGTTTATTGTTGTTGTGGCCAGAGATGTCACCCTGCCCAATATTGACCTTGAAACAATCTCGCTTTTGGAAGGAGGTCAAGGCTGTACACATGTTGACTCTAATTCAGTTTTCGCTATCTATCACTTTCCTGTTACTGCTTGTGGCACTGTTATCATGGTAAAGTCTACATTTGTGTTATTTTCACCCTTATTTCAGTCCATTTTCAACAATTAACACATTTTCCATTTTTTACACATTGCAGGAAGAGCCTGGTGCTATAATCTATGAGAACAGGATGACTTCTTCATACGAAGTTGGTGTCGGGCCTTTTGGAGCCATTACCAGGGACAGCAGCTATGAGTAGGTGAACACTGAAAAAGTATCATTCTTAAAAAGAAAAAGAAATGACAGCTGAACCCCAGTTGTTGTTTTCAGATTGCTCTTCCAGTGTAAGTACATTGGCACCTCAGTTGAGACGCTGGTGGTTGAAGTGGTATCAGGTGATCCTCCTCTACCGGTTGCTGCTCTTGGCCCCATCAGAGTGGCCTTGAGGTTGGCCAATGGCCAATGCCTTACAAAGGGTTGCAACGAAGGTCAGTAGGTGTCGCCAAGAGATTCTGAATGTTAATAAATCCATAAACTTGGCTTTCATAACTTATGTACTTGGTCTCACAGTGGAAGCTGCCTACAACTCCTACTTTATGGACTCAGACTATCCCGTTACCAAAGTGCTGCGGGATCCTGTGTATGTGGAAGTTCAGCTGCTTGAGAAGACAGATCCGGCACTGGTTCTGACTCTTGGACGCTGCTGGGCAACCATAGGTCCCAACCCTCACAGTTTACCCCAGTGGGACATTCTGATTGATGGGTAACAGAAACACTTCTTTACACTTAATTATACTATACTGATTCTTTATATATCTGTTAATCACCCTTATCAGGATGGCTTCCATAGTGTGTATGGATCTGAGTGAGAGGAAAGTTTTGCTATGAAAAAGTTAATCACTTGGTTAATCAACAAAATAAAAGATCTATTTAACTTTTAAAGATAAAAGCTAGTGCCAAGCAGAAAATGGCAAGAGAATGAGAGAACTTGCCATTAACTTGTTTTGAGCAAATAATCTTTTAATTATGCATTTCACCAGGAGTACTAATCGCACATTGGAGTAACCTAGCAAGAGTCTTTACTTTAATCTAACACGGAAATATGTGAAGGGAGCTAAAGATAAGAGTGATTGTGAAAAGACTTCCTTAAATATACCAAAATAACCGTGGAAATGTGTAAAAAGCTGCTGAGCAATCAATAAAGGGGTTTTAATGGCTGCGATGGCAAAAAAAAAAGAATAAAAAGGATTTTATCGTGGATAAATGGTAAGCATATAAAACTTTTTCAAAATCTATTTTTTTTTTCAGCTGAAAGTATTTCTTTTTTCTTTCATAAAAAAAAACTTGTACATTTTTTTTTATTATCGTTTTTTAAGGCATTGTGTCATGAACCGAGGACAGGTGGACCCAGTATTCAGGATAGACAGTCAGTAGGAAAGTTCAAAGGGTTTATTAAAATAAAAACAAAACAAAAGCGGAGCTGTGGCTCGCGGACTATGCAGGCGTGGGGAGGCGGGGCACCGCCCAATCTCAGACACTCTGGGGGAGAAACACAGGTAAGTGACCACGATCAACTGATAGATGATTATCCGTGTTGGTCACTTACCTGGTTTAACAGTCCAGACCACGAGTGTCCCCAGTGCTGCAGTCCCAGAGGTCATGCTGGAAGCTGATCCTGGTGAGGGATCCAGAACAGACAGGAACAGACGAAACAGGCAGAATCCAGATCAGGCAGGAACAGAAACAGGTGGCAGGATCCAGACTTCCAGGCATCCACAGGCTTCCAGGAGGGTTCAGAGCCTGACTGGGACCAGAAGCATGACCAGGTGGTCACGCACAGGAGCAGACAGGATCAGGTGCAGAGCCGGCGATTGCTACAGGCGAGCTAGGCAATTGCCTAG